GGTGGGGGGGAGCCCGCTCCTCCCTGCATGCCCACAGGCAGCTCCCATTCTCAGCCTGGGGCTGTGTGCTCCTGGCCACGTTTGGCAACATCCAGGGACATTTCCGGTTGTCCAACTGGGTGAGGGGGGTCGGCAGGGGTACTGGCCTTTGTTGGTAGAGACCAAGGATGCCACTACGAATCCCACAATGCACAGAACAAACAGCCAGCAGCCTCCTCAGAAAAGAATTACGCAGCCCCTCATGGCAATGGTGCCACGGTTGAGGGACCCTGGTCTGGCCGAGGCCTCAGGGCCATTCACGGGGGGGGGGGGGGGGGGGGGGGAGAGAAACCAAAGGTGATTCACCAGGCGCCACACCCTGCATGGCCGAGAGCAGGAGTGGTACATGGGCAGGAAGGGCACGGGGCACCCCTCACACTCCCTTATGCCTGTTTGCATTTAGATATTAAGACCTTGCTAGGAGGCGACATTCAGGAACATGTAAAACTTAAAACGTTCCCCGTTCTTGATGACGTCGAGGCCATGGCAGAAGGTGAGTGCTGTGACAGGCCGAAGTGACGGAGGGAATGTTCCCCTGAAGGCTCGGGCTTCCCAGGCTCCCTCTCCCTCTCCTGGGTTTCCCTCCGGTCACCCGGGGCGACCGCCACCACCTGTGCTGTTCCAAAAAACAGGGCATACTAGTGGCAGATTGGGCATAATAATAGTGTTTAATTTTTTTCCTTCTTTTTTTCTTTTAAATCTTTGTTGTTGAAAGTATTATGTATGTCCCCCCCCCCCCCCCTTTTTTTCATTGACCTCTTCTCCATATAATGCTTTTTTAAAGCTTGTGTCATGGTCATCGTACTGATGGCCTACAGGCCACTTGAAACAATAGTGGCAGATGGACAGGGACAGGCGCCTGTTTCTGTTGGTGACGTTATTGGGATGCGGGTGAGCTCACTGGTTTGGGCAACATCAGTGGCTGCATTCTCTCCAGGTTGGCAGAGGTGGTTACCGCAGAGCCCCGGCGCCCACGGAGCATGGAAGATTTACTGTCTAACCTTCCCAGAAAAGCTAGTTGGCCACTGCTATTGAAGATGAGTAGCCCATGGAATTTTAGGTTTTGAAGTCTATTGATTACTCCTTTTTTTAAAAAAAACCAGTTTTTATTGATTTTTAGAGCGAGAGGAAGGAAGAAAAATAGAGAGATAGAAACATCATCAATCTGCTGCCTCCTGCAGCACCCCCCCCCCCAAACTGGGAATCAAGCCCAAAACCCAGGCATGTGCCCTGAATGGGAATCGAACCGTGAACTTCTGGTTCATAGGCCAATGTTTAACCACTGAGCTACACCAGACCGGCTTGATTACTCTCTTTCCTTTGCCCCCGAAAGAACAAGTTCTGTAAAGTGAAAATATACATAATATATTCAAAGTCACCACAGTTGACAGTGTAAGTGAACAGATATACTGATTTTAATAAACTGCAACTTACAAAACAACCTCCCAGACCTTCCAGATGTTGAGAAACTGTCTGTGCTATGTGCCAGGTGCTCACAACTCTGTGGGTGGGTGCTGTCACCTGCTCAGTACAGTAAGGCCCAGAGACGGTTTATCTAGTTCAAGGTCAGAGTGCTGGGAAGAGGTGGAGCTGGGACTCAGACCCCAGTCTGGTTATAAAGCCTGCGTTGCCCGGACCAGCCCAGATGGTGTTTGGGTCCACTCGGAGTGTGAAGATGTAGGGTTGTTCCACGCTGTCCGAGGCCAGACCTCACAGTGTCATGGGAGGAAGAGATAGGAATGTGGAGTCAAGAACTAGTGTGGCCATGGGAGGACACCAGGCGTCCCTGTGTCCCACCCCCTTTGTGAGTTGTGCATTTGGAATATTTATCTGTCAAGATCTCTTCCAGCTCCCAAACTCTGAATGGCTCCATCGGCGTGGTTCAGTGGTTGAGCATCAACCTATGAATCAGGAGGTCACAGTTTGATTCCTGGTAGAGTGACCATCAGCGATGATTCTCCAGGTGCCACACCCTGAGTGGCCGAGAGCAGGAGTGGGACAAGGGCAGGAAGGACACAGGATGGATACCCCTCCTTGATATATCTGAAATCAATAATATATATATT